AAAAAAAAAAAAAACCAGCACATTCTACCCCATGATTGCATTAATGTACATAGCTATGATTTAATAAAAAAAAAAAGAAGTGGGGGACTACCAGGGATCCCACACCTGGTTGTATCTGCAGGGCAATGAAACAGATATGGAAGTCAGTGTTCTGAAAGCTAAAGCCCATTGTCTCTTTTTTGTTTCTGGCCTTGGAAATGTGTTTCCTCATCTGCTAGTCATGAATTTAGAAAATTCCAGAGATGCTACATTGTGGGGATATGGAGTAGGGACAAGGCCTGCTCTGGGCTCTTACTTCTATGGGGACATGACACCGAACTACTGGATACCTCACAGGGGGGACCTGCAGAAACAGGCCTAAGGGGAAGAGCATACATTTCTACCAAGCCCTTCCTAAAGGAAGTCAGCTCTCTTTGGAATGACATAGGACTTTTTGTCATTTTGGCTTGTGTAACACAAACAACACTAACTAACAAGAGCAGTTTGAAAAAATACTCTGGGCTGCATACAGTGGCTCGTGCCTGAAATCTCAGCACTTTGGAAGGTGGAAGTGGGAGGAGCACTTGAGCCCCAGAGTTTGAGGTTACAGTTAGTACGATCACACCACTGCGCTCCAGCTCGGGCAATGGAGAGTCTGTTTGTGAAAAACAAAACAAACCCTCTGTATTCTACAGATAAATAAGATAAGAACTAAATATAATTTAAATGAAAAAATAAGGAAAAGACTGATGACTAGAGGAAGACCAACACATACAAGCTGTGCCTAGAAATACAAAGGGAGAGCTCCGCCCACAGAGACTCTGGGGCACCGTGGGTATTAGGACTGCTCAGAAAATGTCTGGGCTCTGCTGATACAGGCAGAAAAGCTTGGGCTCCGCCGTAGACACACTCTCTCTTTTTTTTTGAGACAGAGTCTCACTTTGTTGCCCTGGGTAGAGTGCTGAGGCATCACAGCTCATAGCAACCTCAAACTCTTAGGCTCAAGTGATTGATTCTCTTGCCTCAGCCCCATGAAAAGCTGGGATTACAGACACCTGCCATGACACTTGAGAGATGGAGTCTCATTATTGCTTAGGCTAGTCTCTGAACTCCTAAGCTCAAGCAATCCACCTACCTTGGCCTCCCAGAGTACTAGAATTATAAGCATGAGCCACCATACCCGGCCCTCATAGACTTTCTTTTTTTTTTTTTGAGACAGAGCCTTAAGCTGTCCCCCTGGGTAGAGTGCCGTGGCTTCACTGCTCACAGCAACCTCCAACTCCTGGGCTCAAGCGAGTCTCCTGCCTCCGCCTCCCAAGTAGCTGGGACCACAGGCGCCCGCCACAACGCCCGGCTATTTTTTTTTTTTTTTTGGTTGCAGCCGTCATTGTTGTTTGGTGGGTCCGGGCTGGATTCGAACCCGCCACCTTAGGTGTACATGGCTGGCGCCTTAGCCGGTTGAGCTACAGGCGCCGAGCCCCTCATAGACTTTCTTAACCTACACCTTTCTGAAGCATCTCTCCCCAGTGACTCTAGCTAATCCCTGAAAAGTCCCTACAGACATGCCAGGGTAATGGACAAGCTCCTGAACTTGGATCTGGAGGCCCTAGATTTAAGCCAGTCACAATTCTCCACATAAGCCATCTGCAAGATTAGCATTTTACATATTACCAGTTACTGCTCCAATATCTTTGATTCTCTATGGAATGGAAAGAAATGCCATACTGAAAACAAGATATGGTGAAAATCTCAACCTCTACAATACTAATCATCTTTGTTTTATATTTCACCACAAAAACTGCAATCACTTCATCGCCTGTTAAACGATGCATTTATGTATGTTTAGCAAGTAAAAGTGATTTCACCTTTAGTTCTTCTTGTGATTCTTCTTTTTTGACAAAGACCTCAGCAATATTAACCCCACCAACTGGTTTATTCACATTTCTGTGAAGCAGAGCCGTCTTTTCAACTTTTTCAGTTAGTGTCTTTACAGAGGTTCCTAAAAGATCAATAAAAATTAGAAACAGAATAGAATAGAAATAGAATTAAAAATTACATCAATCTTCAGTTCCAAAATAACTGTATAGAAAGCTCTGAAAGGAGTCTAAGCTTTGTACAAAATTATGTATTTTTAAAATAAAACGAAGTGATGTATTTTGGGGTTGGAAACAAAAGTTAAATACTTTCAATTTAAAAAAAAAACAAAAAAACCCATGATCCTCTAGATTAGGAGCAAAACGTTTTCATTTTAAATCAAAGAAGTATGGTCTCATTCAAGTTTGTGGTTAGCAACTTCAATTTCAGTGAGGTAACCTGCATGAATAGCATATTAATATGGGTATGTTCAAAAGCAATATGGATTATTTTTAAACGAGTTACTTACGTTTTATATGATTATATACATGGTATATGCAAGTTACATATATTATAATAAATTAATTATATCTAGTATG